CCACAAGTGCTAATCGAAAAATAACGTAACAGAAAAATAAAAACCGGCAACTGTCTGTTTCTCGTTAGATAAGAACCAAATCCCCTTGACCCTGATTTCTCGGAACAATCACTCAACCTTAAAAATTCACCTCATAGCGGTTTTAATGCATGGAATTGTAAACATGATACGTTTACTGGGAAACATACTTCATGACCTATATCACATTAGAAAAATTGCTACCGCGGAGAAACAGTATAAAAAGTAAGGACGACGACACAACAAGCCAAAGAAGTGTAGGTAACTATTCGTTATATTAATTTACAACAACCGAAAGCAGGGCAACGACGACTCTTCCATGCATGTTGGGAGAATTTAAAATATAAAGCTATCGTACCCGGGTTTGCTGCAAAGTTTCCGCATTACAAGAATGATACAAAGGAGCAATCACTAAATAGACCGCCTCAACAACAATTCGACGGTCTGACTTACTGGCAGCGGTGGTGGCGTTGGAGTGGCCGGTGTGCGTGAACCAGCAGGATCTGTTGTAATGACATCTCGGCTCGAGTTCGGACGGTGTTCAGCAACAGGACCGGGTGATTTGATGGGGGGCTGCATGCCCGTGATAGTCACTTCATCACCCCAAGAAAGAGAGGTGGAGCCNTCATCACCCCAAGAAAGAGCGGTGGAGCCGTTCATAAATGGCGTATGATAGGAGGGGTTGGAAGTATTGATGTCAAGAGCGTTTGGCGATGCTCCAGATCCTATATCCGACGATGCCAGTTGCGAGTACAGTATAGCAGACAGATTGGACTGTATCTGGTTAAGTATTTGCATACGTTTTACAGGTTCCAGATCAAGACTCTGAAGCAGGCGATGAAAGGTGAGTAGTGAAAACTGAGGATTGGGATGTGTTGAGACGGTAGAAAGCTATGTAACTTAGTACACCTAAACCACCCCCGTCAACTGCGTAAGAACACTTGATTAAATTAAGTTCCATTAAGGACAGTGCTTCGTACGCGTCAACAGTGGCAAGATATTAGGGGTAACGGGGTTCAGTGCGATGTTCTCATTGACAAAACCTGTGACAGCTATCCGGTTCACCGAGTTCAACCGTATTCCTAGTTTTGTTATTGTCCGGAAACGGACACTTGCACCTGAGAGTAGCAGATACCAGTTCAAGACCACCGGCTCACGGAACATGACACAAACAAGGTCACGAAACTTACGTTCAGAGCTCTTTCAACCTCCTTCGTCTGTTGCCCAACGATAGCTGATATTTCCGGCGTTCCACACCTTTCTGACATTCGAGCTGAGTGGAACTGTCAGGAAAAGACACGAAAGCGAGCTGGACGTAGATAGACAGGACACCTCTGGTTCGAAATATATATATATATATATATATATATATATATATATANTATATATATATATATATATATATATATATATATATATATCCAAAAATGCAATCAGACAATCCGGAAGGAACGTGGCAACAGGAACGTCATTGGTTGGTAGCCATACACTTCAGAGTACCGATCCAAGTGAAGTGACAGCAGGCAGACCTCATCCTGGATTACCTGATAGAATTGTCTTTCATCATGTCACAACTAAATGTCTTTTGGGGCATACACTGAAAAAGTAAATGGGCAGCGATCGATGTTTTCACAAATACTTCAAATCATGACCACCGGCTGTGGCCGACATATTGTTGCAACCCGAAGGAACTGACGGGCAACAATGCCTCAACGTAAGCGTAGGTGCCAATCGTCACATCATGCTTTTGCCGGCCACTGGCCTCTAGAGTCTGACCTCGCAGAGTTTAGTTTCTCGGCTTTGCATCGGCAACATCTGCCGCCGATTGAAGATCATCATCAGAGACAGCAACATAATGTTGACAGCGATGTTCCGCTGCTGTCGCCAACTATACCTGAGTCAACATAAACCGGCCGTGATACTCACAAAATGAATGTAGACGTCCAGCTGTCAAATGATTCCGACCGGCTAATCTTTCTCAGGAGCCTGTGAACCGCCTCTCTTAATGGTTACTTCAACACAAAAACTTACAAACCTGAATATTTTCCGGCTAGTTCTGGTGAAGGCTATACACTCAGGAGGCAAGACCAAACAACCTCATGAAATGCATGAAACACGGTTCCGTAGTACGCACCTCAATATCTTAAGAGTGATATAAAAAGGACGGTGATGGCACACTGTAGATTTGTTCACAATGGTTAAATTGATCCGAACGTATCTAGTAAAAGAACTCACCACACTTTTTGAAGAAAGGTTTGAATTCTCATCAGTGGCACTGTTTTGTGATACATCCTGAAAATATAAAAACTTGATTCATGAGCCATGGGAAATCGAAGCGCATAATGATGAAACTAGCTATAAGCAGCAGAGAAAATCAACTGAATAAATTTGTATTCATTGTCAAAGGCCCAACCGAAAAAAGAATGGGTTGAAATATTGGTAGCTCGGGTGAGTTTATTGGTTGTTGATCAGGTGGCTGTTGATCTGTTCGCCGAGCTTGGCACTTGGCTTGCAAATGTTTCGTCACCATACAAGGAGACATCATCAGTGCGCTCTCAACTGCGCACTGATGATGTCTCCTCGTATGGTGACGAAACGTTTGCAAGCCAATTACCAACCTCGGCGAACAGATCAACAGCCACCTGATCAACAACCAATAAACTCACCCGAGCTACCAATATTTCAACAAACTACCAGAATGGGGTTGAGATGTCAGCGAGTAAAATCAATCCAACTGGAGATACATAGACATTCGCAAGACGTCAGTGCTCCAATGGACACTCAAGGTGATGGCAGGTTGTATCGAGAATGAGAGAAACGGTGCTAAAGAGTAGTGCACGACATTTTCAAAAGTTATATTATTTCTACTTTTCTGCGGATAGACATTTTGCAAATTCGCTAAGGAGGGGATGTACCAGTGATATTTCGCTGCCCACATTGTCCAGTGATTCCCTGTGATAATTTGAAAAATCAGAGATTATTGGTTGTCTTGCCGCGTCATGTTTTCTGAAACAGCCTTCATCTGGAAGACGCCAAGGGGGTGAAGGATAACCTGGAGCTGATCTATGAAAGGCATGATAACGAGTAGATGTTACACCATTGCACACCATCGGCGGGATCGGTGTGTTGCAGGGGATGGAGGAACGAATCTGTCAGTCCTTAAGGAAAGATCCAAGGAGATGCCACCGAATGCCGGGCGGAAAAGAGAACGAATATATGAGGGTGAAAGATAGGCGTTGGCAGTATTCGTCTTCACTTACCCTGTTGTATACAGAAAGCAAGGTAACCCGGCTGATGACGTGACAGTCTATATGGTAAAACAGTACTGTTTCACGTTTCAAACCTCCAAACCGGGGGACCAGGACACAGTGTTGGTCAGACCTCCACCTATATTAGGCTGTGTGATTGTATCTTGCACAATAAGAAGTATAGCTCAGTGGGTTACCGAGATGCACAACCCGTCAAACCATAATAAGGCGGTGACCAAAACCGCCAATAGGTACCTGATTCGCAATCGCAGAAATGAAATGATTCCGAGTTTGGGTCAAGTGAAGCATCAGTGGCAACAATTATGTTACCGTCTTTGATGATTGATGATGATGACAAGTGGGAAATTTCAGGTGCTGCAACATGATGCTGCCAAAGCTGAGTTGTGAGGATCATATGGGTTGTACCAAGAGAGCAAAAGTTCAGAGTGAGGCAGTCTGGTTCACCACTAAGGCAGTTCAACTGCTTGGACATCTGTACTGTTGTATGAGCTGATGAGAGAGAGACGCAGGATAGAGATGGCATCCATCTGCAAATTTCATAAAATGGTTCGATTCGTGTAACACAGCACTACTGAGAATCGAAAGAGCCGGAGGCTTCGTTTTCTCGACAACGGAACAAGGACAGAAAAAAGGTAGCTCGTCCTCCTACCCTGCGAAATCGGATTGGCAGGCCATTACAGATAGGATCATATGGTGGACACAGCCATACATTGCGAGTGGTACGCAAAAATGATACAACCAGGACGGTAGTCGTGAACACCGAAGAAGAGCTCAGTATCCCTCATAGCCATAAGCGTTTGGGGCAGTAAACTAGTGCTTCCTTTTGAAGGCTGGTTGGAAACGCGTCCCGGCTGATGAAAAGTTCATTCGAAGGAACTAAACGGGACGCAGCAAGCATAAATGTATTAAACAAGATGAACCACGCGCAGGACTGAAGAATGTCAAGGAGCGATCCATCGTTTGTCTCAGCAGTTCAGGTCGGTCGAATAAATTTGGAACGCGTGTGCGGCTCATGAGTTGGTGATACCACATACATAGTCAACATTACCCATATCATCATCAGCCGTAAAACATTGCGTATTTGCTGTACAGTGGCTACAGCCACCATAGTTTCGTTCACCGATTATTTGTGGAGGTAGAGGGATATAGCTGCATATTGGAGGCATTAGCTGATATAACTAACGAGTCAGCATAGGCGTCAGTGGACTTTCAATGGAGAAATCTGTGAGGTAAGCGATACAACACCTTGGATGCATGCACGCCATTGAGCGCGTGAGTGGGTCCTATCTGACGTCCCTAACCATGGATGTGCCCTATCAATGGTTATCGTTCGCATCCAGGGAGACGGCAATGACCGGCGCAGTTGAACTTACCGACAAGGGCGTTTATGCTTTGCTGCTCACTGCTTGACCTCCAGTTGTTCAGTTGCACCCTTCACGTAGTTGTGTGAAAAGGTCTCCTCGAGGAACTTGGTCGACACACACGACAGCGCAACTTTTGGGGTTGTGATCCGTCCACGTATAGTGGACCACTTATTTCTTCCATAAAAAAATTGGACATANCTACCAATATTTCAACAAACTACCAGAATGGGGTTGAGATGTCAGCGAGTAAAATCAATCCAACTGGAGATACATAGACATTCGCAAGACGTCAGTGCTCCAATGGACACTCAAGGTGATGGCAGGTTGTATCGAGAATGAGAGAAAATGAGTAGTGCATGACATTTTCAAAAGTTATATTATTTCTACTTTTCTGCGGATAGACATTTTGCAAATTCGCTAAGGAGGGGATGTACCAGTGATATTTCGCTGCCCACATTGTCCAGTGATTCCCTGTGATAATTTGAAAAATCAGAGATTATTGGTTGTCTTGCCGCGTCATGTTTTCTGAAACAGCCTTCATCTGGAAGACGCCAAGGGGGTGAAGGATAACCTGGAGCTGATCTATGAAAGGCATGATAACAAGTAGATGTTACACCATTGCACACCATCGGCGGGATCGGTGTGTTGCAGGTGATGGAGGAACGAATCTGTCAGTCCTTAAGGAAAGATCCAAGGAGATGCCATCGAATGCCGGGCGGAAAAGAGAACGAATATATGGGGGTGAAAGATAGGCGTTGGCAGTATTCGTCTTCACTTACCCTGTTGTATACAGAAAGCAAGGTAACCCGGCTGACGACGTGACAGTCTATATGGTAAAACAGTACTGTTTCACGTTTCAAACCTCCAAACCGGGGGACCAGGACACAGTGTTGGTCAGACCTCCACCTATATTAGGCTGTGTGATTGTATCTTGCACAATAAGAAGTATAGCTCAGTGGGTTACCGAGATGCACAACCCGTCAAACCATAATAAGGCGGTGACCAAAACCGCCAATAGGTACCTGATTCGCAATCGCAGAAATGAAATGATTCCGAGTTTGGGTCAAGTGAAGCATCAGTGGCAACAATCATGTTACTGTCTTTGATGATTGATGATGATGACAAGTGGGAAATTTCAGGTGCTGCAACATGATGCTGCCAAAGCTGAGTTGTGAGGATCATATGGGTTGTACCAAGAGAGCAAAAGTTCAGAGTGAGGCAGTCTGGTTCACCACTAAGGCAGTTCAACTGCTTGGACATCTGTACTGTTGTATGAGCTGATGAGAGAGAGACGCAGGATAGAGATGGCATCCATCTGCAAATTTCATAAAATGGTTCGATTCGTGTAACACAGCACTACTGAGAATCGAAAGAGCTGGAGGCTTCGTTTTCTCGACAACGGAACAAGGACAGAAAAAAGGTAGCTCGTCCTCCTACCCTGCGAAATCGGATTGGCAGGCCATTACAGATAGGATCATATGGTGGACACAGCCATACATTGCGAGTGGTACGCAAAAATGATACAACCAGGACGGTAGTCGTGAACACCGAAGAAGAGCTCAGTATCCCTCATAGCCATAAGCGTTTGGGGCAGTAAACTAGTGCTTCCTTTTGAAGGCTGGTTGGAAACGCGTCCCGGCTGATGAAAAGTTCATTCGAAGGAACTAAACGGGACGCGGCAAGCATAAATGTATTAAACAAGATGAACCACGCGCAGGACTGAAGAATGTCAAGGAGCGATCCATCGTTTGTCTCAGCAGTTCAGGTCGGTCGAATAAATTTGGAACGCGTGTGCGGCTCATGAGTTGGTGATACCACATACATAGTCAACATTACCCATATCATCATCAGCCGTAAAACATTGCGTATTTGCTGTACAGTGGCTACAGCCACCATAGTTTCGTTTACTGTTGTAGAGCTGATGAGAGAGAGACGCAGGATAGAGATGGCATCCATCTGCAAATTTCATAAAATGGTTCGATTCGTGTAACACAGCACTACTGAGAATCGAAAGAGCCGGAGGCTTCGTTTTCTCGACAACGGAACAAGGACAGAAAAAAGGTAGCTCGTCCTCCTACCCTGCGAAATCGGATTGGCAGGCCATTACAGATAGGATCATATGGTGGACACAGCCATACATTGCGAGTGGTACGCAAAAATGATACAACCAGGACGGTAGTCGTGAACACCGAAGAAGAGCTCAGTATCCCTCATAGCCATAAGCGTTTGGGGCAGTAAACTAGTGCTTCCTTTTGAAGGCTGGTTGGAAACGCGTCCCGGCTGATGAAAAGTTCATTCGAAGGAACTAAACGGGACGCAGCAAGCATAAATGTATTAAACAAGATGAACCACGCGCAGGACTGAAGAATGTCAAGGAGCGATCCATCGTTTGTCTCAGCAGTTCAGGTCGGTCGAATAAATTTGGAACGCGTGTGCGGCTCATGAGTTGGTGATACCACATACATAGTCAACATTACCCATATCATCATCAGCCGTAAAACATTGCGTATTTGCTGTACAGTGGCTACAGCCACCATAGTTTCGTTCACCGATTATTTGTGGAGGTAGAGGGATATAGCTGCATATTGGAGGCATTAGCTGATATAACTAACGAGTCAGCATAGGCGTCAGTGGACTTTCAATGGAGAAATCTGTGAGG